AGCGTGTTGCTATCGGACGCGAAGGTCGTCGCCGCTCTGAAGCGCACGTCCTGGATCTTCCTCGAGGATCACTCGAAGAATCTGATGCCGAACATCGGCGTTTTGCGGGACGAAGGAGTGCCGCAGCCGTGCATCGCGCTGTTACTGACGCATTTCCCCGAGACTCTGATGCAGAAGACCGACAAATTCGTAGAAGTCGTCGCTGAAATCAAGCGAATGGGCTTCAATCCGAACAAATCCACCTTCGTTTTAGCGATGCACGCCATTTCCGGTAAAGGAAACAAATCGATCTGGAACCGATGCTTCGATGTGTACAGAAAATGGGGATGGTCCAAGGACGAGATCCTGATGGCGTTCCGGAAGCATCCGCACTGTATGATCTTATCGGAGAGCAAGATTTCGAAAGGGATGGAGTTCTTCACGAACAAGATGGGGCAATCTGCGGGAATGATCGCGAAGAATCCGGTGGTTCTGTTCTTCAGCTTGGAGAAGAGGATAATTCCGAGGTGCTCTGTGATCAGAGTTCTGTCGGCGAAAGGATTGATGAAGAGAGAAGTGAGCTTGACGACGGTTCTGTTGCCGGTGGAGAAGCGATTTCTAGACACATTTGTGATCAAATATCTCGAGGAAGTTCCTGAGTTGATGAATCTGTATCAAGGCAAGACGAATTTGGCTGAAGTTTTGGCTTGAATTTTTTAGGTAAACTTGGGAGAGGTTTTTTTTTTCCCCTTTTTTGGTTAGTTCATGATCTTCTTCGCTCTTGATGCTTTGTTCTTCTTGGTATTACTTTAGGGAAGTTGGCTTAATTTTTAAATGTTATTAGTAGGGTAGTTTATTAACTAAATATTTAGTTCCATCTACAATATTATTAATTAATCTAATAACATATTTTAAATTTTGTATAACTATTATTTTATAATATTTCTATAATTTATATTATATTATGTTTCACGTGTTTTAATTTATTAAAAAAAATGAAAGAAAAGTTTATAACATAAAAGAATATATTTATTTAAAGTCTTTATTCTTTTTTATGTAATTTTACGTTTTAAAATTTCAAATTCAAAATTTAAAAATATTGTTTTTATAATTTTCACTATCTTGATCATATAATTAGAAAACAATTCTAAGAAAGCTTGTAAATACAACTTGAATTCAATGTGGTACGGAGAAAGGTGAAAAACATGCTAAAATTGAGAGGAGAAAAAGTATGATTTTAAAATTTTAGCTTTAAATTTTTAAAAAAAACACACAGAAGAGATGAGAGAAGAATTTAACTTAAATTTTGGAGAAACACATCATAGAAATGAGAGATAAAGTGAAAAACATACCAAAATTGAGAGGAAAAAAAAGGCACAAGTTTTTTAATTTAGTTTAAATTTTGGAAAAACACAGAAAAAATGAGATTCGAGAGAGTGAAAAACTTTGAGAAAAGAAGCATATAATTTTTGAAATTTAAACTAAATTTTGGGAAAACACATGGAAGAAATGAGATGAGAGAGGAAAAAGGAGAGCATAATTTTAAAATTTAGCTTAAATTTGGATAAACAATTTAAAAATAAAAAAGAAGAAAAAAAGTTTGACCAGAACGCTCTAACTATTGAATTTGAACCGACACAGTAGTTAAGTAAAACACGGTTTAACTGAGGCCAGCAACTGCTCTGGTCAAGACAGTAACCGTGCTTAGATACCAAACCTGGGCCTTCCAAGTTCGGCCCAGCACCTGGATACTCAGTTAGGTCGGTTGAACAAACTGCGCCAAATTCATGAATATATTTTAGAGCGGCCTAGCCCAATCCACAATATAAACCGCCTGAAGAATGCCCCCTATTGGGTTACAGGCCTAGGCCCGGCACTGTTCCAAACATTACCATTTCCATATAATTGTGTTCAACCTTTATAATTCGAACGATGTGGGACATGGATGGGACATGGAAAGGAATCTCGGCGCCCACGTTCTCGATTACGCTCTGTTTCGGATAATGAATTTGCCGATGCGTTCCCGGTGTGGTATTTGATTCTAAATCCGTGATCGGGTGGGATTGGTAGTGTTTTTGGGGAAAATACTTATTGGGTTTTTGTGGGTTTTTAGTTCTGGAAGATGGGTTTGGATTTTGTTGGTGGGGGCGACGGAGGTTTGGTTTTAAGGTAGCTGCGAAAGGTTGGACTTGTTCTTCGTTTTCTGTTCTTCTTCCTCTATTTTTTTTTTCCTTTTTTGGAATGGTTTTTCAATGATTTCTGTGGGGGGTAGGGATGCGAGGAAGGAAATAGGGCTAGGCGGTGCCAGGAGAGAGATGGAAGATACTGAGCTTGAAGAAGGAGAAGCTTGCTCCTACCAGAACAATGAAGATTTTGATTCAAATATTGACCCTGATGTTGCTCTCTCCTACATCGTAAGCCTTCTGTGTTTCTTGTTTTTCTATTGCAGCTTCTAGATTCTCGATTTGACCTCTTGTGGTGAATTAGATCCAGTCTGAGATRCTATGGAATTCTGGGTTTTATTATGTCTTTAGCTCTAAGTTCTAAAAAAGTTGTTCTTTTCTTTTTTAATGCTTCTGTAGTCAATGTGTTTTCAGCTCATAGTTACAGTTAGGCCAAAGTGAATGAGAGAAAAATGTCAGGGAAGAATGGTTGTTTTTAGGAGATGTAATTTAAGTATGGGTTGCTGTCCTCTTTGTCAGTGGTAGCAAATGATCCAAGGAGCTCTTCCCGGCCACTTGATCCATTCATGGCAAAGGAAGAATTTTGACTGTTATTTCTTCGTGTATAGGGAAAAATTCTTTCTGTGTTGGATCTCTTAATTGAATTGGAAGTTAAGTCCTGAAGTTAATACCTTAATGGGTTATAGTTACCTGAGAAGTTGAGTGGACATTCTAGAATATGTATGCTATGCGATGCTTAAGAAATTGTTGTTGATGCAATGAATTTATTTGCTGTGATTGTAAGGCAATGGGTTTAGTATAATGATCATTCTCACTTTCACATTGAATTTCGCGCTCTACCCGATAGAGTTCTCTCTCTTTCTCCGGCCGCCCACGTCCCGGATTTCGCTCTGTTTCTGGCATTTCACAGTGAAGGATAATGAATTTGCCGATCCTTCGCTGAATTCATAGAGTTATTGGGTGCTTTTCTTGATTTAGGAATCCATGGTGGAGAGGAGGAGACCTCTGGTTCTGAATTCAACAAAGGCTCTCGTCAGTTCCGTACTTAACTCCTCGCCACTCACTGAAAAATCCCGAGTCGCCGGAGAAGACAAGCTCTCCGTCGATTCTGAGCCCCCTGAGTTGCAGTTGCAGACGGGAATTCTCCGATTCGATGAGGACAGAGATGAAAATTCAGTTCGGAAGTCCTTTTCCTTCGACGACTCTGCCGTGGTTGGGGTCTCGATGTCAGTTCTGAAAAGGCTGTCCATAACTTCAGGCTCTTTGGTACGTCAACTAATATAGCTCTTGAATTGAAGAAACTTCCAATTATTTGTTGGATTGTATTAATCTACTTCTTAAGTTCTCGTTCACTGATTTCCATTGTCTTTTAGGGTTTTGTTCATTCTCAAACTACTGGAAACAGTTTCCTATCTCTAGGCATATAAAGTTCTTCAGCGCGAATTTTCTTTTGTACATTATAAAATTTCTTTGGATACTTCGGAAGCCAGTAACTCTTTCTTATTTCGTTGATTTCAAGGTTCTTGTGAAGAATCTCGAATCTAATGCGCAGAGAATTGCTCAAGCAGTTGTTCTAGATCCCCCCAACACCAATGAATGCACTTCCGACGTCAAGAAATCTTCTCCCGGTCATGCCATGCTTGTTTTTCCTTCATATAATTTTCCTCAAAATGGTCAACAACCAGTGGATTCTGATACTGCCTTTATATCTCCTCTTTTGGCGTTCAACCTTGACTTCCACATATCGTGCTTAGGAAGCCTAGTAAATAGAGGACAAGAGACTTTGGCATCATACTTTCAAGCAAAAGTGGATGGTTCGCCGTCTGGAGAAGGCGCTGTTGCTTCTGTTATTAAAGTAGGATTGAAACCTCTGGTTAAGTTGCTAAGATATGCCTCGCACTTGAGGGTTTCTTTTGTGAAAGTGCCAGAATGTGGTATCCTTGAATCTATAAATGGGAGATCATCCATTGAAGCTGAACATCGTCAGGAAGTAATTGATCTTGCACTGCAAACATACTTTGAAGTTGACAGGTTTCTAGCTAGAGGTGATATTTTCAGTGTTCAAGTAGATCAGAATTGCAGATCCACGTTTTGCATTCCATGCAACAAAAGCATGGGGAAAAGAAGTGATGGTATCATCTACTTTAAGGTGCCACCTCTGAATTATATATGCATAAATATTCAATGAATGTTGTCATATGTAAATTTACTGCGTGTAGACTGTATTTTCAGGTTGTTGCAATGGAGCCATCAGAAGAACCAGTCCTTCGTATAAGTCGCATTCAAACTGCGCTCGTGCTTGGGGGCAGTGTGCGTTCTGCTCTTCCTCCTGATCTATTGGTTGCATTACCAAGAATGTTTGCACCTGTGCAGACGAACGCAGTGAAGCTTTTGGCCTCCATACTTGCACCACCTCTTTGTCCATCACCTCTTTCATCAAGATATAGAATTAGTGTTCTATTATATGGAATAGCAGGTCTATTATCAATTATCAGAATGCATAAACCTCCTTTATCACCTTTTTGCTACCTGTTCCTGGGTCAAATGAATTTGAGCTCTATGGCTTATGGCATATGAGAAATCACAATTCAAAAGATTGAACTAAAACTTCATGAGTCACTATATTTTCTTTGCTTTGTCTTGGTGTAAAAATGTCTCTCCCTTTTGCAATTACATTATGAGTTCTCTATTATCCAATTTGAGAAGTTTTATTTTTTATAACTTCATTTAGATGGGGTTTTCTTTACCCAATTCTTTTGTTAATTTCATATCATCAATGAAGTTGTTTATTATCCAAAAGTAGATTGCGCTAAATATGAAGTATAAACTGTTTCAGGATGCGGAAAGAGGACTGTGATTAGATATGTTGCTTGCAGATTGGGCCTTCATGTAGTAGAGTTTAGCTGCCATGATATTATGGGTTCGAGTGAAAAAAGGGCATCTGCTGCTCTAGCTCAAGCTTTTAAAATGGCTCAAAGGTGAAGCAATGAACATTTCATATTAAAATTATTATTTTAAAAGTAGAATCTTAATTGTGGTTTAATGGATTTACAATCTTAGTCAGGTGATGTATATGATTGTTATTTAGTTGCCACTATTTACTGGTTCTTTAGATAGTGTCGTTCATTTTTGTTGTATTTATTTATTATTATTTTTTTTTTTAGTGTACAAACAATACATTAATTTTGTATTTATAGCTTTAGATTATAATTCAACACCAATCTCTGTTTTTTTCTTAATGAGAAACAAAATTCATTGATGTTGAAATTATGAGGGGAAATTCCTTGCAATAGCTTAGGAGCTACCAAAACACTCTCCAATTGGCAATAATAGAATTAAGGTAGATTTAGATAAGGTGCTCCTTAGAGGAGACCCAAAAATCAACAATTTTCCAGAGATCCTCTCAAGTCCTTTCTTCTACTTGGAAGAACATTTGATATTTCAGATTTCCAAGCATTGTATGCCAGCATAGTGGTTATCTGTGATATTCCATATTTCGTACAGTCCGATAAAATACTTGTCACCTTCTTGTTCCTCATGTGATGATATTTTATCAGATACTCCCCAACAATACTTCTTCTCCGCCACTTTGACGTTTTTCGGAATTTGGGTTCTAATGAAGGTTCGCCCAATGATCAACTAGGCATCCCTACTGAAGTTGCTTCAGTCATTAAGGAATTCACTGAGCCAGTTTCTGACGAGGAGGATGCTTGTTATCAAGGAGAAGGAAACCAAATTTTTGTATGCAACTCTTCTTTTGTAGTCTTGTTTTGCAACATGCAGAATTATAAATTCTAAATATTTTTCATTTACCTTTTAATATACGGCCTACGGGAAGGAGATTAGCATTTTCTAATAGGAAAACTTATAACTTCAATCCCCCTCCTCTTTCATGGATGCACACTGTGATGCTGTTACAATGCAATTTCAGGAGAAAAGTAAGGCATTCAGGCATCCAGTACTTTTAGTTGCAGCTGCTGACAGTTGTGAAGGTCTACCAACTTCTATTAGGCGTTGCTTCAGTCATGAACTGAAAATGGATCCTTTGACTGAGGAACATAGGATTGAAATTCTATCTCAGTGCCTGCAAAGCGCTCCTGAATTTCTACCTAGTGTATGAAATTTATTTTTATTAATCATTATATTAATATTTGTTGAAATAGTTGCACGTTAGTGTAGACAAATGATCAGTTCCTGCCTTCTTATTCTTGAAAATTGGGAAACATTGTTAATGTGAAATCATTTTAATTGTATTGGCCTACCCATCTAAGAATACAGGGAACGTTTTCTTCCTTAGCTAAAAGCCTAAAACCTGTCAGAGGGTAAAAGGTTAGAAGTGATTGTGAAATTCTATGCAGCCCACTATTATTCCATGCACACAATAATGAGTGAAAATAAGGTAGTTAGTAACTGATTATTTATTTATTTATTTATTTTTAACAAGATACAATCTTTTCATCGAAAGTAACTGATTAATTATTAAAAACTATTAAGTGATTTTTTCTATTTTGTGATAAACTGTGAAATCGACTGGTTCATATTAAAAGCATTATCTTTTTTTTTTATCTTCTTTTTTTCATTTTGGATGTTTCCCTGTTTTCTGATTCATGACCCTTTCATGTCAACCACTTATTTTAATTTGCCAGGTAATGCTTCTTGCAGACTAATGTGGAGGATTTCATAAAGGAAATTGCTTCACAGACATCAGGCTTTATGCCGCGGGATCTTCATGCTTTGATAGCTGATGCTGGTGCAAACTTATTGACTAAGATCAATCCTCAGAGTAATAAAGTCGCGGATGAAACATTCGAAAGTCGACTTAGATCACGAATACTTACTGATAAATCCTGTGAAGAAAATCCTCTTATAATGGAAAAAGAGGATTTCAACCTGTCATTGGATCGGTCCAAAAAAAGAAATGCATCAGCATTGGGTGCTCCAAAGGTAAACTAGGGGAGTATGTTGGTTTCCATATTGGAGTACGGCTTGTTTCCCTTCCATTGGTTCCTGAATTAGTAGTCAATGTACACGCTTTTGTCTTCTCCTACCTGATTGTGTTCAAAAAAGTTGTTGAGATCTTGTTATTTCCTATAGGTTCCAAATGTGAAATGGGAAGACGTTGGGGGACTTGAAGACGTGAAGAAATCGATTATGGATACAGTTCAGGTGGGACATTTTGATTCTCCGTAAGACTACAATTTATACTTGCTCTTTAGGTTACTTCTCTAATT